AGTAGAAAATCAGGATATATATATATTTATAATAATGCATTAATTAATTGAATATTTTTGTTATAATAGATGTATCAATTTTTTTACGATTTCATACTAAATCCATAATTCTCTTTAAGATTAACTACAATAAAATGACTGAACCTAATTTATATGGCTATCTGACATTATTGAAAAATGATACACTTATTCACAAATATACACTTGCCCCGAAAAAATGGACAATTGGAGGTGGATTGTCAAACAATATTCGTTTTTTGACCGATGATGATAGACTTCTGAGCACCCAGTGCGTTATCATTGTACAAGACAATGGTGTAGTAAGTGGTCAACATAAATTTCTTTGTGCTATTCTATTTGTCTATGACTGTAACTTGTTGTTTTATTTAAGGCTATTCTTAAAAACAAAAAAGCAATGGTTCCTATTACAGTGAACAAAAAAAAAATAAATGCATCTAAAGTTCTTGAACCTGGGGACATTCTTGAAATATCAACTAAACAATTCTTGTATGGAAATGATGTTTTAACTAAAAAGGTAAGTATGTCTTAATTTATTATATTATTTAACTTTATATTTTTCTAACTAAGATATTGTATAATCATAAAAGATATTCGTATTTAGTATGTAGACAATGCAGACTTTTATCTTCAGTATCAATACAATTCCTCTAGACAGTTAAATGATATCCTATATTTTTTTCTAAAATAATGCTGTCTACACCTCAGACTGATTGGAAACCCACCTCTACATTTTCTTAACCTGAGCTAATCTTCGCATTTTCTTAAAACCAAAACATCGCACATCCTTAACTATTTGTGAACAGTAATCTAATCTAGGCCAACCTCTACTCTCCTGTTTGTGTTTCTAATATGTCTAACCACCCGCTCTAATTTATACAAGAGCTTTTTCAAAGCTGAAATCCCGTTGGATAAACATAAATTACACTTTATTATAAAAAAAAACTTAATTTCTCTGTTTTGTTTCAGAAAATTAAAGAGTTATCACGTAATATAAAACAAGGATGTATACTGAAGTTCCCTTCAGTATCAAAACGATCGAGAAATTGGAAAACTTCATCTAAAAAATTAGAAGCAGCAAAGTAAGGATCTATTTGGTGATAAACTTTTACAATAGCATGCAATAATATTGAGAGTGTATTTTTCTGTTTTTGCCACAAGATTTTTGCAAGCTTAAATTGAAGTCATTTTTCATTTATCACAATAGTTCATAGTACTACTATATAATATTGTTGATATAATACATAATATTTTATTTTATTACAAAATCAATCAAGTAAAAATATGAAATATAATTGTTTACTTACTCGATTCTCAACTGAAAGAGTGCTTATGCACTAATATAGTACAAGGGAATGTGGAGACCAGAACTATGTGTTCACATATGAATTAAATGATAATTACTAAAACTAAGTTTATTTTTAACTCTTTTTAGCCTTTCAAATAAAAATATGGAATTTAATTCTGAGAAAGTGACACCAGATAAACTACTTCCTACGAAAAAAAGTCAGTCAATAAGGTATGTATTACATTCTCTCAATAAAATAATGAAACTGAAATAATTTCTTTTTTAGCACCTCATTTTCTAAAACACCAATGCCTGATAAATTATGTGCCAAACCATCAACAAGGTATAGTACAAAATTTTTATTGTAATATTTAACATTTAATTTTGCATTTTCTTATCTATAGATTGAGTGTTTCAACAGGAAAAATATATAAATCTAAAAAACCAGTAACAAAACTGAACAAAAATGAAAACTTTTCTTCACATATTCCTGTTTTGAACAAAAACCCCATATCATTAAATGCTACTTCAAGCAGAATCAGAAAAAAAATCTGGCTGGAAGATGTTTTTGATAATACTGAGCCTGCAAAGGGTAAAGATAAGAAACAATCAATCATTAAAATTAGTTCAACTGAATCAACGCCTCTTGAACGTACTAATAAGCCCGTACAAAGTACACCACAATATTCATTAAGAAAAAGAAGCAGTTTTCAAAATATTGACTCCTTTATCGACAATTCCGTCAACGATTCAAGTTTCCAATTAAACTCTTCCTCAGTATCTAATAGGAACACAAGTATGCAGAAGATTATTAAAAAAAATAGCGTAAACAAAGTCACTAAAATTCCAGAATCATCTTTTAAAGTAAGCTACGTTTTGGATACTCCTGTTCCTTCTGGAACACAGAAGCTTAGTAAATCCTTTGTATTTAGTCCGGCGATCAAGACTTCTAGGAGAGTATCAAGAAGATGCACAACTGGAATTAAAAACCGAAGTTGTAAAAAAAATGAAAATGCTAACAAATCAATTAATCTTCCTACAAGGAGCATAAAGTTAAAAAGTTCACTTAACAAGAAACTGTTTTCAAGAAGTGAAACAGTAGAAAATTTAACAGAAATTAAAAGTGAATGTATCTCTAATAAAGAAGATGAGGTAAACCCTGAGTTAAGGAAAAGTCCATCAAAAAAGTGCAAAAGATCAAAAAGATACACTAATAACCAAATAAATGAAAATAATATAAAAATATTAGAAGATGCAGTGAAGCCAAGCTCAACAAATATAAGTAAAATATCTATCAAAGCCCAGGTAAATGATGATGAAGAAATATTGGCAGAATCTTTTGGAAAGGAGTTGAACAGTAGCATAACTCATGAGAACGAATCAATGGGAATTAGAAGGTCAAGTGAGTTGAGTAAAAAACACTCAGAACAATCAAATTCCTTTAATGATATTAAAAAAGAAAGCTTTGAACAAAAAATAGATACATTAACAACAGGACGAAGATCAGCAAGATACAATATTAAAGAAACCAACAACATTTCAGAAAATACATCAGTTTCTGATTATTTTGAACAAGGCAGTTATGAAGAAGATATAAGCACAAATTTTAATGTTAACACTTCTTCAAGTTCTGATCAAGGTAACTCAAAAACAGGCAGGAGACAAGACAATTATGATAAAGAAGATTTCTTACCAGAGGAAAACCTAGAAAACACAAATCAAGTATTAATTAGACGCAGCAATAAACAAGCAGTGGAAGAGTTAGAAAAATCAAATTCATTTCATGATCATAATCAACAAAATATAAAATCAGGTGAAAATATAAAAACAAGATACAGTTTAAAAAATGCAAGGGATTATGTAGGCGTTTTGGACTCATCAAATCGTCTTAACTTAATGAAAAATATAAGTCTTAATGAAAGCGCTTTAAAAATAAGTAGAAAATCAGGCAAACGTAACAGTGACCCTCTTATTTTCAACAGATCTGAAGAAAAATTAAAACAAATATCCAATATATCTTTGTGTCTGAGGAGATCCAATGATTACAACAGAAATCAGTCAAATAATGATGCAAATAAATTAAATATTTCTGAAGAAATCACGCAGAAATCTCCAAATGCTGTAAGAGTATCCTCAATGATAAAATTCAGTCCTATCACTCCTGGTATTAGGCAGAAATCTAGAGCATCAAAGACACCTACACCTACTGAATCAAAAAGTAATAGTTGCAATACATCTGTTAAGATTCCCTACAACAAAATTGAAGATGAAAGTCTGTTTTCTACAAGTACCGACAAAGAAAATACATCGGCTACTGAAGTAACAAAGGAATTGCATTCACCTGAGGAAGTTTATCGAACCCCCGATTCGATTGTCAAAATTCCTAAGCAAATACCAAAAACACCTAAATCAAATGTAAAAAGTCGTAAATCTGTTTTCTTGCAAGATTTTGAACATAATAAGTTTAATCCAGATAACTTGGGAGGAAACGAAACTAATAATGACACCACTATTGTAGAAAGTAATAATATGTCACAAACGCCAAAGACTCCAAAATCAAATCGCAAAGTTCGAATCTCAGATAACATACCAATTGGACAACCCAGTATTGTAAAAGATTTGAGAAAGAGCATTGCAAGCCCTGAATGTAATTTTAAAAATAAATCCAGCGAAAACGAATATTTTCAATATTCGGATCATATCTCATCAAAATCTCTTGCATCAATAAATGACTCGTTTATGCAAGAAACGGAAAAAACGCCATATTCGCGCACTAAGAGATCATCATCTCTTGCACAATTATCTCCAAAGTCTAACATAAAAGCATCAATAAGGAGTAATCCTGCAAATGTTTCAACTCCAAAATCAAACATAAAAATTAGACATTCTGTAACCTTTGAAATAACAACAGACGATTTACAGAGTCTTGCACAGAGTTCTCTAAGAGAATCTAATGGCGCTGTTAATCAGAACAAAGTTTCTAAACCTAAAGAACGTTCTTTAATTGCTTATACAGAAATTGGAAGTGTTAAGCAGTTACCCTCAAAAAAGAGGCAACGATCTAGCATACATATTTGTCTTCCAGAAAAAAGACAAAAAATAGATGACGAATACTTAGGTAAGATTTAGACGTGTTTCATTTTCACTTTTTATTTATTTATTTGTTTGCAGGCGTTGAGAATGATTACAATCAACAAATGCTACAAGATATTTCAGTGAGTTTCTCTTCTTTGCACTTGTTATGCATGTAAATTCTAGATGAAGTTTAATATAAATGTATCTTGCAGAATGACTCATCCTTTGATAATTGCATCGATACTGATGGAAAAACTCCGACTCTCATTGGGTCTAAAACATACGCAGCACAAAAACGTGGATTTACAGATTCAAAAGAAAATATTGAGAAGTGCAAGAGGCGAAGTTTACCCAGTGAAGTATTATTCAGTCAAGAAAACAAATCTCATGATTATACGAACGACAATGAGTATTCTTTCATATCCAGCACAGACACGTCGTCGATATTATTCGAATACCATCCAGCCACCAACATAAATAATCTTTTGGTAAACAATATAACATTCAAACCTGAAGCTTTGAATATAAGTGGGGTCGTTACACTAACACCTAAAAAAGAAAAGTTCATATCAACAAGAAACTCCAGCAGTAATACAAAAATGCCGAAATCTAAAGATGGATGTAATGAAATTTCAGCAATAACTAAAAACTGCAAAATACCAGAAAATGAGTCTGAAAAAGGTCATAATGAGCTTGGAAAAACAAACATTGTTTCAAGAATAACAAAAAATCAAAAAGAACCCGTGAGCAGCTATGTAGATAGAAAACTTTTCAAAAGTTCAAAACAGCAAAGAGAGCCAGCTTGTAGTTATGAAGATGTCCGAGGTGTTAAAAAACTGCTAACAACCCCAAAACAGCAAAGAGAACCTGCATGTAGTTATGAAGATGTCCGTGGTGTTAAAAAACTTCTCACAACCCCAAAACAACAAAAGGAACCTGCATGTAGTTATGAAGATGTCCGAGGTGTTAAAAAACTTCTTAAAACTCCGAAACAACAAAAGGAACCTGCTTGTAGTTATGAAGATGTTCAAGGTGTTAAAAAACTCCTTACAATCCCGAAACAACAAAGAGAACCTTTATGTAGTTACGAAGATGTTCGAGGTGTTAAAAAACTCCTTACAACTCCAAAACAACAAAAAGAACCTGCATGTAGTTATGAAGATGTTCGAGGTCTTAAAAAACTTCTTAAAACTCCAAAACAACAAAAGGAACCTGCCTGTAGTTATGAAGATGTTCGAGGTGTTAAAAAACTCCTTACAACCCCTAAACAACAAAAAGAACCTGCATGTAGTTACGAAGATGTTCGAGGTGTAAAAAATATTTTTAAAACTTCAAGAGAACAAAATGAACCTCTGAATAGTTACGAAAATATTGAGGGAGTGAAGAATCTGTTCAAAACACCAAAACTACAAACAGAACCCCCAAACAGTTATGAAAATGTTGAAGGAATAGACGAACTGTTCAAAACACCTTTGTTAGTTGGCTCAAGAAGAATACGCAAAAATACTGAAGACGATAATATATTAATGTCTCAAGAACAAAAAATAAAATCTCTAAATAAAATAAAAAATATAAGCAACACTCCTTCAAAATCATTAAGTGAAAGCGAAGATGCTGAAAAAGATGTAATGTCTTTGAGGAGAACGCGGAGGCAAATTAAAACAAAACAATGCGAATCAAGTGAAATGATAGCCGAAGATGATAAAATCCTTCCTAAAGAAATAAGAATACTAAGAAAAAAAAATGTTGAAACTTCTGCTGGTTTAAATACAGAGAATAAGATTGAATCTACTGAAACTTCCACTAAAAATACTAACAGAAATACTGAAGTAACTGAAACTAAACATACGAATGAAGATTCAAGGGTATTCAGTAATGATGTTCTTAAGCGTACCGTTAGAACCAGAAGGGCAAAAAATGTCGAAACCGATATCGCTGATATCACGGCTCATGAAGAAGAAATACAAAGATCAAATAGGAGAGCACAGAAAGGAATAAAAAAAGAGGAAATACTGAATGAAAAACCTAAAAGAGCGACTAGAAAACAAATAAAAAATGAAGAAATTAAAGATAAACGTGAAACATCAAACAAACAGTCTAAAAAAGCGTCAGATGTTACAGTTGAAAAGGACATTGAGAAAATAAAAGAAGAAAATATTAGCTTTGAAAGTGACAATTCTGAATCTCATAAAAACGTGATTACAAATTTAATACAAAGTAATCGGTTTAAAAGAAGAAAAGCTCATCTATATGAAGAGGAAAACAGTCAGCTAAATGATGTTAACATAGAAACTCCAGCAATAAAGAATGAAATATCTGATTCTGTTAGAAGGAGACAACCGAAAAGAAAGAAAACCGAAACTTCTGAGATTGCACATAATTCTTTTGAAGATATTAAACATGAAAGTGACGTTAATTCCAATAATGATGAAAATATGGGAGCACTACAAAGAAAACAGTCTAAAAGAAAGAAAGCTACTAATCTAAACGAAATAGAATATGATACTTTAGAGAGCATTAAAGATGAAATTGATACCTCTGATGATAAAAATGAGGCAGCAGTAAGAAGAAAACGACCCAGAAGGAAGAATAATGATGTATGTCAAGCAGAAACTGAAATGCATCTTGACGATGTAGAGGTAGGACGATCTTTAAGAACAAGACGACAAAAAAAGGCAGCTACCATTGACATTGATAAAACTGAAGAATACAAGAAAAGCGTAGATAGCCTGAGTGCAAAGAAAACAAAAGTTGCTGTTATATTAGAAGAAGAACAGCAAGCCAGAAAGAGTAATCGCACACCTAAAACTAGAAAAGTTTCACCTGGAAATAGTGGCAATGTTAATAATAGTCCTATTACAGTGAGAGAAACGAGAAAGAAAACGAGACGAATTTTAAGTAAAGATGAAATAGAAGCTGCATCAGAAATTATGCCTGAAATTGAAAGGAAAACTAGAAGAGCTAAAGCAACCGTAAAAGTGGATGACGAAATTACACCAATCAGAAAATCAACCCGCCAACGGAGATAAAAGGCATTATTTTAGCATGCATTTTACTGTAGTTTATGTCAGTAGTTATACTTACATTTATTTTATATGTTTGATTTTTTTTAAAAGTTATAAAGTAGTTTAAAACAAATACGTGTCTTTAAATGGTATTAATATTTTCAAACATTTATAAAAATATATGCTGAGCTTATTAAGACCTGGGTTTAATGTTTTTTCACAAACATTTTATTTTAAGGTAGAGTATATTGAGATTACTATCTGTTGTATATTACACTATAGGCACGTTCGAAAATTTAAATTTGAAATAAAATATTGATACTTCCTTTTTACAGCAATAACTTAATATTTACTTAACCAGAATTGCGTATAAGTACTTTTCGTAATGCGTTACCGTTTCATTATCCATTATTTTTGTAATGGGTGATGGAAACATTTGCTATTAATAATTACTATTGTTTAAAAAGTATTTTTCAATAATTGATAGCTCCATTACTCTTAAAAAAGAGTATTAGTGCGAATTCTTTCCATTACTCATAAAAAAAAGTATAGTCAATTGTACATACACTGATTAGTAAAAAAAAGGGTAATGGTTAGTGGAAAAAAATTCTATTAAGTACTTATTGCAAGAATTGGATAATGTAATTGTTTGAATCTGTAAAATAATGAACATATTCATCAAACAAAGCACTAGAGTACTAGAGATACATATATAGAGAAAAACATTTTAGAAAAAAATTAAAAAAATATCACTTAAGCAAATGCAGTGTATTATTACTTAAATCTTATAAGTAGTAGCACTAGAAATACAAAATAAACATATGTGCTTTTGAAATGCTTTAATTTGCCTTTAGCGGTGCAAACCGTAATAAATTATGCTCATTTTTTACAAAATATAGAAATTACAAAAATAACTCAACAGTAGATTAAACAGATATTAAAAATTCCAAATATTTTTATTATCTTTACAATTATACTTCTTAATATCACATTGCCGAAATTTCCTTTTACATATCTTACAAAATAATGTTTTACACATATCCAATATGCAAATTCTACAATATAAATGATTACAAGGAATTTCATATACAACATCTTTCATATTACAACTTCTACATTTTATTTCGTGATTATATTGTCTCTCTTCTAAATCAGTTGTAAATCTTATAAAATTCTCATTGTTCATTGTTTTTTCAATTAATTTTTCTAGCATATCACCGCTGCTCTGTAAGTTATCTTTTTTATCATCACATTTTGCTTTTTTATTGACACTTAACTCATCCTTTTCAATTATATTATTTTCTATTTGCCTTTTCAAATAATTGGGAGCCCCCAGAGTCCTTTTTAATGAATATGTTTCTTTTTTATGAGCATTTTCTAACAAAAACATGTCGATACGACTTTTAAGAGAACCATTAAAAATAGGTTTCTGTCTTTCTGTGAACTTTTGCCCTGTAAAAGGGTCTGAAGGTTGTCTTCCTTGTGATGCTTCCACAGCAATAAATTTTTCTAATGTACTTTCATCTACTGTGTTTCCACTTGGCAAAGTTACAGGAATTGACATTATTTCAAAAGTTAATGAATCTAAAAATTCATCTGGAATTTTAAAATCCTGCGTAGGTAATTCTAAGGGGGTTTTTGAACTTGAATGTACTGTATTTCTGTTTGAAATAAGATGAGAAACTGTTTGAAGTGTTACATTAGAACAAAGTTTAGAAACTTTACCCCATATCTCAAATTTACTTAAACAAGGAACTGATTTTTCTGTACGAAATATTCTCAATCGCACTGTGTCACTAGTTACACCAAAATTAGATGACTTAAAATAAGTAATAATGTAATTTTGTGGTATATTATGTGGAAGATTATTAGCTGAATAAAGTCTCTTATTACAAAAGATCACTCCATCTGCAGTTACATTTGCATGTCCAATAGATAAAAACTGAGTCTTCTTTTTTATAAAAATTTCAATTCCTGTACTTCTTTGAGTCCCTATAACTGTTCCAATTACAATATAATGTATATTTACATCACAAATTGTTATAAAATCAACTTCAACTGGAGGCTTTACAGTGCTGTAGGCCAAGAATCCTCTAGATCTGGTAAGGAAATCTTCACTAACTAAATTTGATACCTCATAATTATCCACTGCTGGTATAGAGCAGTTTATCTTCGGATGTAATTTGGGATTAATGAAATTTACAGGAGTCTCCATGTTCATTCTTTTCGACATAATTTAAACAAAATATAATTGTCTAAATTTATATCTAATTAGAGAAAAACGAGAGTAGTAGGTAGTTAGTTTTTCTTCTCATCTTTTTTAGTTGCCTTTACATTTTATCAAGTACGATCATTTTTAAACTAGCTCACTTTTCTGCCTTTAATAATATAGAACTGTCAACTGTTTCTTGCTATTTTTCTCACATGTTGGGTTTTAATTTCTGTTGAGTGATACTTGAAGATAGGGATTAGATATGAAGCTTCGTTTGTCTGACATTATTTTTGAAAGCATATTGAACCTATACTAAGAAACAGATCATATTGAAATCAAATATTCAAAAGCCTACATATAACCTATGTTTCAAGTACACATGCAACCATCGACGTTTACTAATGGACATGTCCAGAATTGTGATACAACAAAAGAAAGAGATGGAATGAAGTTTCGGATAATATCCATCTCTCTCGCGATAGTGCGTAAGCGTGTCATGAAAGAGATAGCACTAGTCCGAAACCATACGCCATCCCCTCACTTTTTGAAGCAAGAAATTATTACAACGAAATATGGCAAAGGCACATCCATTAATGTATGTCTATGCATGCAACAGTCGTATGAATCTAGCACCCGAAATAAATAATTCTCTGATTTAAACTTTACCAATAAATGCGCATAATTTATTGGTAAAGTTCGAATAATAAGAATATTTATACGGGTGCCAGATTCACAGAACTGCCAGCAGACAGTTTTTTTAAGAAACATTTATTTAGCTGATTTTGATTATCTATGAACCTATAATTATGACATTATTTTGACACATTTTATCTATGATTTTTTACCATTGACACTAGTTTTCTATGTAAATATGCATTAGTCTGTGGTAAATATGTTGGTTTTAAAAGAATTTTGTTTTGTTTATATCTGTTATTACTTATTGCAAATGCAGAAGTGAAATATAAGGGAAGTAATTGAAATTGAATTACTGTTGTGAGGACCATGAATTGTTTGTTTGCGTTACTTTAAAAAAATAAAAATAAGAAAATGGCCCACACTGGTGTTCCTGCCGGAAAACGCAAAGAAATATATAAATATGTAGCCCCATGGCCTTTATATAGTATGAATTGGTCTGTAAGGCCAGACAAGCGATTTAGATTAGCTCTAGGGAGCTTTGTTGAAGAGTATAATAACAAAGTTCAGGTAGTATCATTAGATGAGGATACCAGTGAATTTTCAGCAAAAAGTACATTTGATCACCCATATCCAACTACAAAAATAATGTGGATTCCTGATAGTAAAGGAATTTTGCCAGACTTATTAGCAACAAGGTAAACAGTATTCGTTATTTTAATTTTATATACTTCAGTCAAAATAGAAGAACGTAGATATGTTTAGACAGAAGTAAAAATGAAATTCTTCTATAAAAGATCCAGTTTTATATACAATGGTTACATATTTTTAATAATTTACCTTTACTTTTATAAGTTTCTATTATTATTTTTTTATAGTGGTGATTACTTAAGGGTATGGAGAGCAGGGGAACCTGATACACGACTGGAATGTGTGTTAAATAATAACAAAAATTCAGACTTTTGTGCACCTTTAACAAGTTTTGACTGGAATGAAGTAGATCCTAATTTAATTGGTACATCCTCTATTGATACAACTTGTACAATTTGGGGCTTGGAGACAGGACAAATATTGGGTCGTGTAAATCTTGTGTCAGGACATGTTAAAACTCAACTTATAGCACATGACAAAGAGGTTTATGACATAGCATTTTCAAGAGCAGGAGGTGGGCGTGATATGTTTGCTTCAGTAGGAGCAGATGGATCTGTAAGAATGTTTGATTTAAGACATCTTGAACATTCTACCATTATTTATGAAGATCCTACACATACTCCATTGTTACGGTTAGCTTGGAACAAACAGGATCCCAACTATTTAGCCACAATTGCGATGGATTCATGTGAAGTTATTATTTTAGATGTCAGAGTACCTTGCACTCCTGTAGCTCGATTAAACAATCATAGAGCATGTGTTAATGGGATTGCATGGGCTCCACATTCAAGTTGCCACATTTGTACTGCTGCTGATGATCATCAAGCTTTAATTTGGGATATTCAGCAGATGCCAAGGGCAATTGAAGATCCAATATTAGCCTATACAGCTGCTGAGGGTGAAGTCAATCAAATTCAATGGGGGGCTACTCAGCCTGATTGGATAGCTATATGTTATAACAAATCTTTAGAAATACTTAGAGTTTAAGAGCATGAAACCATTTTGGTCAGAAATATTTGACTTTCCATTTTTATTCATTTTGATGTGTGATTCAATCATAAGAAAGAATTTCGAGATAAGCAAAAAGAGTAAAAGTTGCTTACGTTTATGTTTGGTACTGTAATGACTAATTAGAAATATTTTAAACTAAGCGAAGCTTTAGGGTATGAATTATTGATAATAAGCAGCACACTGTATACTTTAGTAGACCCTGTAGAACTGTTTTTTATGAATGTTAATTCGTATTTAATCAACGTAACAATTAATACGATTCAATCACAGCCGATTTCATACACTGTACACAATAATTTCAAGTTTATGAACGAACAGGCCACATGATTACAAATGCGGTTTTAAATATTTTAAAAATGTATATTAATAGAAAATATGAAATATGATAAGTTATAAAAGAAGAGTGAATGATGATAATATTAAAATTTTTACTTGTAATTAGTTGAATATTTTAGAAAATACTACAAATGGCGCAGTAAACGCCATCTGTAGCACGATGCCACATTTTAGGATTACGTATGCTCGAACAAGGTCCACTTGTGTGGATATCTACTTGCTGAAAACGAATCTCGGCGTAGCCAACCTGAACGTGATAGGCACGTTAGCTTAATCGAATAAAATAATTCGAAGTGGTCTGTATTCTGTCGAAACTGCCAGACGCGGATCGCGATTTCGATCTTTTTGAATCTCATACAGACCACTTCGAATTATTTTATTCGATTAAGCTAACGTGCCTATCACGTGGAGGTTGACTACGCCGGGATTCGTTTTCAGTAAGTAGATATCTACATAAGTGGACCTTGTTTGAGTATACATAATCCTAAAATGTAGCATCGTGCTACAGATGGCGTTTACTGCGTCCTTTGTAGTATTTTCTAAAACGCACTGTTGAGACACCAGGTAAAAGTTGGTCTGCGTTCTTTGAATTATTTCACTTCGTTGAATATTTATTGAGGACGTCTGCATGAAGTATATTAGTTAAAAAAAAAAAGCGAGTATTAACGTAATATCGCCAATGATGTGTGATATCTAACCCCGGTAACGAACAAAATTTTCGTAAAAATTTTTTGGAATAATATATATATTTAGTAGAACTTTTTATATAAATTCTTTTTATAAAAATGTTTCTGTCATCTTTCTCTTACTCCCTTTTCCTCTCTTCAAATGGTGTGAAACTTTTCGGTTTCACATTTCCGTTGTATTGACGAAATTAGTCCCACATACCGGGTGATAAGATATTATACATTATAAAATGTAATGTAATATATACACTTGTCTCTTGTTAGATTTAAGCTAATTTAACTCGTTAATTTTTTATTAACGAAGTGTGTATAATACCTATAATCCATTATGATAATGATTAGATTTATAACCGTGACAAACAAATGCTTTTTGAAAAAGTTTGTTATAGGTACAGGTATTTATTATCTACAAAAAAACATAATGGTCTAAGAAATACATAAATGCATTTAAGCGAAAATAAAAATTGTTTTATTGAAGTTATCCAAAGAATGAAAGAGTCAGTAATTTGGATATATTTTTATATTAATTATATACAAAGCAGTTTGCACGATAGAAACATATTTTTTTACATTATTTTTTACTTGAAGTTTTTTGATTCACATCAGCTTGTAATGGTTGTATTGCTTCTGGTGGTAT